ATAGAGAAGATTTGATTATTTATATTTATATTTATATTCTTAATTTTCTAACATATCTTTAAGCTCGGTGCTTTCTTGCCAAACCCAACTCTTCTCTGTTCTTTTCTTTTCTCCTTTTTAAGTTATTTATTAAGAGTTTAGACAGAAAATGTTGGGAGTGTTCAGCAGCTCAATGGTTGCAGCCATATGTCGGACGAGTTGGTTGCAGCTGGATGCCGGATGAGTTGGCTGTAGTCGGATGCCGGACGAGTTGGTTGCAGTCGGATGCCGGACGAGTTGGTTGCAGTCGGATGCCGGACTCCATCTCCAAAAATCACGTTGACAGCCCTCTTGAACCGCTTCCTTGAAAAATTGAAAATGGAAGGAGAAATCGGAGATGAGGGAAATCGTGATAGCATTATCGTCACCACCACCATCACCGATTTGCAGATCTGGGCACTATTGTCACCACCACCATTACCGATCTGCAGATCTGGGCACATCCTTACTGTTTTTGACACTCACTCACCTCTGGCCTCCTTTGGTTTTGTCTTGACTCAAAGATTGAAGATGAGAGGAAAAATCGAAAATGGAAGGAGAAATCGGAGATGAGGGGAAAGGTGAAAGCTTGGATGAGATTTACTGGTTCTATAAGGAGAAGAAGAAGAAGATTTGCCGACAGGAATGGTTGAAGCAGAGGGAAAGGAATCTATTTGGGGAAAGAAATAAGAGTGAAGAAATATAACACAACGCACACTGCCTTCTGAGTTCAATTTTAAGAAAAATCAAAACATTGATTCACTTTCAAAATACAGTATGAGGAGAAAAAATAGAGAAAGAATTAGGGATTTTATCTGCAATGATACCTTGCCGACGAAAGAAAGATTACAGTGATGAAGAGAGCAGAGGGTTTGATGCTGTGTAACTTTCAGAAATAAAAGACCAGAGACAGAATCAAAATCCATAAGAAGAGTCGAAAAGGAAAAAAAAAAAAGAAAGAGAGAAAGGATCCATAACAACTTACCAGATTCTAAATTAATCAAGAGCAACGTGGAGAGGAGTCAAAACCCATATGGAGAGAGAAAGAAACAGGAGATCTGGGCTTTGGTTTTAGATTTTTGGTGATGCACGGTAAAGATATGGCTGAATCTAAAATAGATTGGTGTTAGAGATGGATGATGAAGAGAGTTCACAATAAAGAGAGGATGAGATCTTGGCCGACTGTGAAAGGGGGTGAATGAGGAGAGAAAGTGAGAAAAATGAAAGTGAAAGTGAAATGGGAAGAAAATACTAGAGATAAATGATGAGTCCATTTGAAACTTTCTAAAAGGGGTGGAGGGAAAGGTTTTGGCGGAGAATCGAAGGATGGAGGAGGCAGGTAGATGAAAATTTTCAAGAGAGGCTGGGAGGGAATGAACGAAATTTCTCAAATTAGGGTTTGTGCTGAATGCAGATGTAATATGTTTTATATTTGCTTAAAAAATAATGCGGGTTTTCGATTGTGATATTCGGTTGTTCGAGTTTTGAGTCGACAACCGAACACCGCACCATTTAGAAAGGGTTGAGGCCCGAAACCGTTGCTTGGGCCCGAAGGCCGTTCATGCCCACACCGCAAGCCCAACTTTGGTGTGGTTTTCGGGCAACCGATCAGTTGCCCGCGTGCGTGCCCAGCCCTACCACCAATGGTCATCCCAAATATTTAAATAAGCTAAAAGATCCGAGAATCATGGCCATTAGGGGCGAACCTACTTTGGCGATGGGTAACGCACGCCTATTTCAAAAAATTTTATATTTTAAAATTTTATAATTTTAGACCTTGTCTATTAAAATAAGAAAAAAAATA